TTGTGGTGAATCAGTTTAGTGTTGAAAACCAGTATGGATTGTGCTGACTTGGACATAAGGATCTGACCCCCCCCCCCCCCCCCCCGCCTCTGAAGTACACGTAATAGAAATTTGCAATAGCATTAGAAAGCTGAAAAAGTGCATGTGTTTTAAATAATTTGGTTTTTAGCCAGTGCTTATGAAACAGATATGATATCTGTGTCCAAACTGGAGAGTTACTGCACGACCATGCTGCCCAAGGTGGGCAGGTCAATTTGATTTCACTGGGTGGGGAGCACATTTTTTAAGCAAAGTACGAGTCTGTTGGTAAGACGGAACCTTTCTCACATGAAAGAAATAACAAACCTGTAGAGAGGGGAAGTCTTGAGTCATACTTGTATTAATGGTATTCTCTTTTTTTTCTTTTTTTCTTTTTTGGTGTTTCCATTTCCTGTCCTGTGTAACTGGCGTATTTTACCCCCCGGACTGGCTGATGGGCAGTGGCAGCGCACAGCCCTGGGCAGACTGGGCTCTTGCGTCTTTGCCGGTCACAAAGACACCTGCAGCATGTTAGCATGTCTGTGTTATATGTTGTTTCGATACATGAACATTGTTTGGAATGTCAAGTCAATGCTTAAAACAATTGACTGTGTTCAGATAGTTCTACACTTTTTTTAGCTCTTGTGAAACTTGGTAATTTTTTATTTGGTTTTTGTGAAACTTAGTTTTGGCAGCAGGAAAATACTTGTGGTATGTTTTATTTCCAAATGCCATTAATACAATATTTTGTTTGAAGTTCTGGAGAAATACACTCAGGAAAAATATGCACGTCTTAGATTTGTTGTTTAACAACTCAAGTCACTGGTGTTGTGGCACTAAGGACCTGTCCAGGCCACAGGATGGCACCGATTTAGGGAGGAATATGGCAGAGACGGTGCCTCGTGGTTAGCACTGGCTGCGTACTGAGATTTAGATGCTTTGGGCATCATAGATCTAACCTGGATTGTGAATGAGGATGGATGGCAGTTGTGCTTTATTCTTACTACTGTTGGACCCTACCAAAAAGCTTACAAATCCCTGAAGGTGTGTTGGGTATTGACTTTTGTGATTTTGAGAAAGATGGATGCAAAGTTCTTAAAATATCCGACTTCACTAGTCAAATGCCTTGGGGCATTCCTAGGATGTAGTTCAGAGAAAAGATATAAAACTACCCTGCCAGACCTTAAATTATATGTCTCTAGAAAGAAAATACACCTTTTCTATTCAGCTGTGTAAGTGGGTATTGAATCAAAGTTGTTTTTTCCTAAACTTTGAAAATTTTGTTCACTTTGTTTTCTGCTTTCAAGAAGGGTTAATGAATATGGGCTTGTTATCATCAGTCAAGTCATATTAATGTATTTTGTGGTATCTACTTGAAGGCAGTGGAAAGGGCAAAGTAAAAAATTATTTTTGGAGGGTTCTCCCAGCTGTTAGAATTGTTTCTTGAAGTAATAAAAGTTGGTATTGAAGCTTTAAAGAAGACTTTTGCAGTAGACATTACTGGTTAAATATTAGTACTATTGTCTCTTTCTATGGGTGTTATTGTTATCCAGCTATTGAGTGGGTGTTATAAAACGTGAAAAGAAATTAAACTACTTGTAAAAGATTAGTGGCACTTTAACAGATTGCTGCGAAGAAGTGTGCACTGTGCATTTGATGTAGCAGTTTAAAAGAATGAAATATTGATGAGTCAGCTTTGTGTTAGCAACATATTGGTCAGAGTTGACGTGTGATATGAAAGCACAACCTGATCCTGAACCCCCTCTGGTTATGAAAAATCACTTAGTGCTTGATATTAGAGCAGAGCAGTTCATGCTGGTAATTAATACAGTCTGCAGAGAACACTTGCGGGTTCAGGCTTTCTGCAGTCAGGAGATGATCTGCCAAACCTGTACAGCTTTAGTTACGTAACTGCTTTTTCTTACTTTGAATTATGCATATGTCCCACTGCTTTGCCAGAGTTTGGGAGGTTTTTTCTGTTTTCCTACCATTGTGACTGCAAGACAGGCTCTCCCTTGCCTCGCATGTGGAGAGAAGGAGGCTGGTGACTTAAATATCTGATTAGTCTCCTTTAATGTCATTCTTCTTGCCTTCTCTACTTTCTTTTTTCCTTATTTATTTGCTGTTGTCTCTTCAAATTTTATTTACATGATGATTGTTCTAGATAAGCCTTACTATGCTTAGATTATATATTCCTTTCCTCCTCTTTCCATGGGTTTTTGGACCAAGATGCTGCATTCACTCTCCTTGCCTGCCTAACCCTAGATTGCCTAAGCTCTTTCCGCGGCAATTGCCCTGGCACACTGAGCAGCCCTGGATCAGTTACGTGTTCTTCCTGTACCTCCTGTTCCTTGGCTGTGCTTTGATGCTTGGACTGTTACTCTTGGGACTACAAATGCCTTCAAGTTCTTGTTTCTTTTAATTATTGATGACTTATTGATACAATCTAAGGGACCAAAGCTATGAGGACTTCCAGAAAAAACTCTTTTGCTGTTACCAGTTATCTGCTGCATTGTCTTCATTCTTTTACTACTGCAGCCAGCATGCCTGAAAGCACACTTGAGAGATGTCAATTCCTTTGTCTCATCTTTTGCTTTATGTCTTTCTCTTCTTTATTTGGAGGAGAATGTAAGAAACCAGACAACTGGCTTTTCAAGAATAACAGTGTCCAGCATCTTCTCTCCTTGCCCTTACTTACCATGCTTTAAAGCTGATTTTAATCAAGAGGCTACTTGGTTTATGATTTCTAACAAAGTTCCTACCTTCAGGAATAAGATATTGCTTTTGAATCTAGAACATCACCTATTTTGGGATTTATTGTGTATGCAAGTGGAAAGTGTTATACCCAAACCCCCTTGCTTTTTGCTTTCTACATTTTAGTAAATAGACAAGTGTCATGCTGGGAAGAAGATAGTACTGACAGGCAATTAAAATGAGTGGCATGAATGCAGGCTGCTAAACTTCAAGCAATCTTGATATCTTTGGGAAAAAAATGTTTGTGGCCTAAACTGCAGCCATTTGGCACACTGTTGCCAAACAGGATCCTGATATTTCTGTCAGCTTTACAGTCTGTACAAATAATTCCCTCAGGCAGGGGAACGTGCCCTAGAGTTGCTCAGTATTAATGCATCTCTGGAAATTTCTTAAAGAAGAAAAAGTTGGTTGTGATGTGCTGGTTCTGAAGTGTCTACCTATGTGCACACTGACAGCATGCTCAGCTTCCTCTCTGCCTTTGCCCTTGGGTAACAAATCTACAGATTTTTGGGTTGTCTAGAACAGAACAACCTGGGTGCATCTGCCTGTATATTTTAGTGGGACATAGTCCTCCAGCTCTTCGATACTTCAAAGGTAAAAGGCATGTCTGCCGTACACACGTGCAAGTCTGTGAACGTTTGTATGACCAACATATTTCCAGCCTCCTGTCGCTGGCCAGAAACCTTTCTGTCTATGCAGTTATGAATATTGTGTTAATGATATGCTCTGCAGCTCTTGATTACATCCATTCTGGGTAAAAGATGAGACATGGCAGCTCTTGGTGTTTAGAGGAGCATCTGTCAGTTCCTATTTATCTCTTATTATCCATGCTATAAATAACTGGAAATGTTTGTACTTAGGTCTGCATTTCCAGGGGTTTTTTTTTTATTCTAAGTGTAAAAACTATGCTGACTCATCTTATTTAAATATTCAGATTTGCAGTGGGAAAGCACATAGCGGCGGTAGAATAGCCGTGTTTTAACATTATGAACTGGTTAAATAGATTCTTTTTATCAAAGTACTGTGCACCTGACCTAATCCAGCTTTGTTTCCTATGGGCTGGTGTCCTTCATTCTTATCATATGCAGCGCCAGACATTCAGATTCACAGCATCTTCCTCAAAGAGACCCGTGGAGAAAGAGGCAGATGGTTTGTGCTGTGGCTGGCTCAGAACTGGGCAAATGCTGGTTGTGTCTTCTCCACTGTGGAGAAGACCACAGAACCACTGAGAAGCCAGTTTCTTTCCTTCAGTAAGGCTGGGAATGCAGGTGTCTCTGTTTAGCTGTCAATTTTTATGTAGGCTCTGGGAAGTTACCTTTTGATCCTTAGCTCTTTTTAGAGTTATTAATTTAAATTTGGATGGTAAAGTTAAATATTCAACAGCATAATTAAATCCAGCTAGCTCCTCGCTGTGTGCTTTTTTTGTAGGGTAGAGGTAGGAGTTGTTCTGGAGCTTTTTTCATCTTGAAAATCAGGGTGAAAATGTAATAAATAGAAATCATGCGTCCTTGGCATTAAAAACTGAACGAGTAAAAGAATTCAGGTTTGTTTAAATGTCTTAATGTTTTAAAAATATTTTCATTTAAACAATGTGTACCTTAACTGTGGTCTGACAGTGTTGCTGTATTTAATAGAAATGCAACTCTTAATTATTTATACAAAGTATTTCTTGTTATTCTTGTGATCTTCCTTTTTGGAAGTTTAATATTGAAATCTTGTACATTGTATCTGCCTATTCACAAATCATATAATTTTGCCTCACAAGCTTCTTTAATTAGTTTTCAGCCCCCATAAAATGCTCATAAAAGTAGACGTATTGATATATTAAAATTTTCTAGATGTAAACCTTTGAGAAATTTTGAGGTGCTAAAATTTTTAGGGATGGTAGGAGCTTATGAGAGAAAGAAAATAACTATAACCTTTCATAGCTTCTTTTAAATAAATAAAGTCAGATGACTTTTGCCATCTATTCAATAATTTGTGCATTGCATTGATTATTTATGCCCAGCAAATTGACTGTTGTGTGGTGGTTCAATGGTGCTCTTTAAATAGAGAGACTACACAACATGCAGTACTAGCTAAAACATCATTTAGTGTTTCTTCTGATGACCATAATCTAGAAAACAGTCACATTTTAAGCCTCCTTAGGAAGCAATATTTTGGTTTATTTCCCTTCTTTTGTTTTTGGGGGTTTTTTTGCAAAAAGGATTGTTTGGATTGCTAATTTCATGACTGCTCGCTGTTACGACTACAAATACTGTGGTGCTATGGATGATGGTGAAACGGGAACGTTCAAGCTCACTGAAATAACGGGGAGCCCGAGAATGGAAATACATCAAAATCTTCAGATGCACCCAACGCCGTTCCAGCACCAACAGCAGGCACTGAGCATCCGCACGTCTTTTAGTTCATCCACACTGCCCGTGTCTTCCAAACACAGAGGGAAATTTATAAACCTACGCGATAGCGTAAAAAAGAGCCCTACAAAAAGCACGGCAAAAGTAAAAGCTGCGAGCGGGTGGTTGTCTGACGGCTCGTGTTCTAACTGCTCTTTAGAAAAGGTGGGTATTGCATTAGGTGTCTGTAGGGGTGCGTTTTCGATGCAAACTGCAGAAAGTATGTCACAGCTTGTTTCATTATGTAGTTTTATCCCTGCTATTTCTAGAGACTGTTACTTAACTTTCTTTCGTACTTTATTGCTAGAAATCAAAGTAACAATAATTGAAATTGGGCTGGCAAAGAAGTGCTTCTACTCAGTGTTTTCCCATCAAGGCATTTTCACTGTGTGGGATGTTTTTAGTCATTTCTTGAAAGTGAAGAAAGTCTTCAGGTTTGCTTGAATTTTATTCTCTAAAACATATCTTCTAGTACTTTGCGAAGAGCACCATTATGGTTTGGTGGTTCTGCTTCAGGATGTGTATGATGCTTTGACTTAATTTCAGGTTAGTTGGTATTTCCTCACAGAAGGAGTTACTGTGTGTTGGTTAGACATGAGACAATGGGTATGTTCTTCCTTTTTACAGCAGCTGGACTTTTGGACATGCTCATCACTAAAAGACATAATTATCTTAACTTTCTAAAATATACTACTTAAATGTGGCTTTTTAATACATATATATAGATATGCAAGTCTGTCCTTGCACTGTGAAAAAGAAAATACTGGAGTTTTATCATAGTGTTGTAGAGAAGGGCTTTTCATTGTAAGTGTTAACACACTTACTTAGGCTGACAGATTCTGCTAAAGTGAGCTTTTGTTCAAGTCTTGCATTCCTATATATATAGTATATAATAATTCTGTGCTGTAGTTTGTGTATATTCAAAACAAGGTTTTTTGTTGGACCACTACTTCCTTTGTAGTTTAGATTGGTTTGTGTCTGTTTAAATCAGGACCATTAAATGCTTTAGACAGACATCTTTATTTAAAGTTATTTTCATGATAAGCTTTTGTTTTTTCAGGATACTTTAGTGTATTTTTTGGAGAGTTCCTAAAAATTACAAATGTTTCTTTAAAATTCCTGGAAACTGGAGCATTGAAAGTGATATGCCGATCTATTGGAGCTTCTGTAGCTGCTTTCACAGACACCTGTACCGTATGTACACTGGTTTTGTGCCCTGCTAAATAAAATTAGTGCTCTTCTGTTATAAGGAAGTTTCAGATCTGCTTTCTCTGATGATTAAGAACCTTTTAATTTCTTGCATTGTCCTTCCTTGTGGTGGCCATAGTGGCTGCATCAGTTCAATGTATTCTGTGAAACATTCAGGTGAAGGCAGTCTTACCTTCATGTGGATCTGCACATCCTATGCAAGTGGCTGCCACTGTTGTCACTGCTCTCCTCGCCCTGTGGTAGAGGAGGAGGGTCAGCCGGAACATTGCCAGGATGCCTGGAGAAGCTGGGAGCAGCCTTTAAGTGGCAGTCGTTGCTAAACCAACAGCACAAGTGGAAAATACAATGACAGTACTAATAGCTTGTGAGACTGGAACCTGAAAAAATGAAAGGACTTTGAGCGACATCATCTTTAAAATAATAAGGATAAAAATTAGAGCTGATTGAAAGGATTCTTGAAGCATTTGGGAGTGAGAAGCCCGGAGAGATGTGGGAGTCGGGAATTGAGAGAAGGAGAGAAGCAAGAAAATAAAGTTGCCTTTTGCTACAAATGGTTTGGCCCCCAAGGAAACCAGCTGTAACTTGGTCAGTTATTTTGCTAAGTCACAGGGAAAGTATCCAAGAACATTATCTAAGAATCACTTCAGTTTGGTTTTAACCTTCTCTTAATGCAGGACTTGTAAATGAAAAGCTGGAATTTTTCTGACCTGCTAGTGCTTAGACTTTCAGCATTAATGCTCTATTATATTTTATTATGTAATTTATATATGTCTGAAACTTTGGTTAACTGGATTCTTACTGTGTACACACATGGGAAGCCGCATACTTTGGAACAAGGCAGACTTGAAGCAGTGGCTTATATTGTGCAGGTGTAAGGCTAAGTGTTTGCTTCAGCTATTTAATTTGATTTATCTTCTGAAGGTTGCATCGTTCTTTCCGTGATTGGAGATTTGTTGCTCTGAGCATTTCCTGCATCCTTTGCAAAACGTTCCTTGTCATTTTTCTAGGACAATTTGGATTCTCCCCCACCCTCCTTTATTTTAGCACTCAAAAGACTGTGCTGTTGTCCATAGATGTAAGGATGTTTAAATTACATTAGTAATAATCTCTCAGGATATCAGATATTGAAAGATGTAAGAACAAGATATAACTGGATCATTTTTCACCAGCTGTTCATTTTGAGTAGGTTGACTTTGAGCGGGGAAAAAAAAAAAAGAAGTAGGAATACCATATGTACATTTAATAAGGGTTGCTGCTTTGGGGCTATTTCAGGTTTCTGTAATATTTACTTTTACTGTTTAATTTGGTGTATGCTATTGGTGTGTGTGGCCTTGTGTTTTAAAATATATTTAATACTGCCATGTTCTGATTTTTTGGTTCATTTTCAGGGTGTAGTATTTTCTTTTGTCAATAGGCTTCATTATATTTAAAGATCACAAGAATGTGTTGGAATAAGTGAGTTGCAAGAGCTTTGATCTGGTGTTCAGCCTGTAATTTTGATTATAGTTGCCAGTAGTTTATGTTGCTGACAGCTTGTTGACAGCCAATATGTTAACACCTCAAAATGATTTGAGTCAATGTTTTGCTCAAAATGCTGTTTGTAATCTTGTTCCCTTGGAGCTTAACTCAGTAGCTTTCCTGGTTGCTATTTTAATGAAAGTTCCAAAGACAAAAATTCTCTTGGTCTGAAGGTGTACGTAAACCTGTATGAAGATACTTGAGAGGCAGACCAAATCTAGTTTAGCAACTTCCACCCATTTGACAAAAAGATTTTCTTTATTTTTTGCACAGTTTAGAAACCTTAACATACTTCTGATTTTTCTCCTTTATTGAAGAGGAATAATAACGTTGTTCAGTGCTATCAACTTTAGCCACTGATTCCCTTTGATGCACATTGTGGCACGCTGGTGAAGGGCTTCTCTTGTGAAACCAGCCCACCAAAAGCCTGGGTCTGTCCATTGACATGCACGGATTTTATGTTGGACCCTGAAGTCCCCAACAAAGTCCAACCCTAGATACAGGCTGGGCAATGAGTGTGTTGAGAGCAGCCCTGCAGAAAAGGACTTGGGGGACTGGAAGATGAAAAATGGAACATGAGGCAGCAACGTGCACTCACAGCCCAGAAAGCCAATCCCATCCTGGGCTGCTTCAAGAGAAGTGTGGCCAGCATGTCAAGGGAGGTGATTCTGCCTCTGCTCTGTTCTTTGGAGACCCCCCTGCAGTGCTGTGTTCAGCTCTGGGGCCCCCAGCATAAAGGAAAAAATGGACCTGCTCAAAGTGGTCCATGGCTGGACAAGGGGGTGGGAGGCACTGGAACAGGTTGCCCAGAGGAGCTGTGGCAGCCCCCTCCCTGGAGGTGTCCAAGGTCAGGCTGAATGAGGCTTTGAGCAACCTTGGAAGCAACAGGATGAGAGGTAATGGTTTCAAACTGAAAGATGGTAGATTTATATTAAATATTAGGAAGAAATTCTTTACTGTGAAGGTGGTGAGACACTGGAACAGGATGCCCAGGGAAGCTGTGGATGCCCCCTCCCTGGGAGTGTTCAAGGCCAGGCTGGACAGGGCTTTGAGCAGCCTGGTCTAGTGGGAGGTGTCCCTGCCCATGGCAGGGGGGTTGGAACCAGATTATCTTTAACATCCTTTCCAACCCAAACCATTCTATGAAAGTCTCATTACTCTGTCTATGAGGTGAGTAACTTGGCAGGAATAAGCAGTGTGGGTGTGTCGTACTGCCTTGGGTTCTTTGCCGTTGCACATTGCTGGAGATGTACTGCCAGGTACAGCATGGTTAAAGGTGGTTGGTTGTCTTCAGTTCTAAATAGTTTCCAAATCCATATGCTATTTCAGACTTTTTAAGCTGTTAAATTTAGATCTTGTTTGTTTAAAAATGTTTTTCTAGATTTCATTGTTTTTGACGTTTTGTTGGTGATTTTTAGCCCACAGAAGCTGTTCCTTCCTCTTCTCCCATTGTCCCTGTGATCCCTGTCCCACCAGTCCCTGCTGAGACCACTGTCATCCCATCCACCACACCACAGGTTGTTATTCTTTTTCTTTTGTTTTATTTTGTTAATTGTGTTCAACTTTTATTCATTCCATTGCTTTGTTTAAATTCACCTTTTGATATTCTCGCACACAAGTCTGAGATGAACTGTGGAACAGATGAATTAGTAAAACTCTAGAGTTCCTTCTGAATTTTGTTTGGTTTATAGCAGCTTTTAATCCATTTGAAATGCCTATATTTTCATATGGAAACATATTAGTAAGTTGTGAAATAACTAAAGGAAAAAACAACAACAAAAGAATGGAAAGAAACAATAGGACATTTTATGTTCACATACTAATTTTAGAGCGATTCCACTCTTATTAATGTGTTATTTCTTGATTTATTTATTTATAGAAAATTTGTGTGTCATTTTATATACAAATACTTAATACATGTCTTTCATTGATTTCACTTGCATGATGTTTCTAAGGTTCAACCATTTAGTATTGGAGTCCTTGGCTATATAGAATACAAAAAGTGGTTTTGGATTTCTTTTCCCCTCTGTTCCTAACATATTTGACTCATAAAATGTGCTTCACTTCTGACCTTCATCCTTTATGTCATGTAACGTCAGCACAAAAAAAACCCCAAACTCCAATCTGTTGAAATAAATGCAAGCAGTAAACATGAGTTAACATTAGTATTGTGCATATAACTTGGAATATGTGACCATAGCATGGGAAGCTGTGGAATATTTTGGGATAGGTAGCAGTTTTATTTTTGCACATAGAATGGCATTCTGCTTTTATTTTTTGGTAACTTTACAGTAATTTTCTGCGAAAAAATCTCAACTGGTGAGCGCACACCTCCTGAAAAGATGGATCACTTCTTGGAATTGTTTGGTGATGGATATTTATTAACTTTAAAAGGGGAATGAGCTATCCAGACTGTTACTGGGATGTTTTTGTAGTACCCACGTTAGTTGTTTGGTTTTTTTTTAATTAAGGTCTGCTTTCAAGTGACAGGGCTAAACTTGCAGCAGGTGGTAATCTTTTCTTTCTCTGCTGCATTGTTAAATTCTGCATAATCCAAGAAATACCAGATTTTTTTTACAGTTGGCTGCTTTATAATGTAATTACTAGTGGTAGTGTGTTTACAAGAATCCATCATCTGTACCTTACCCAACAGGCAGACCAGAGATTTGATTAGTTCCAGAAATGTTTCCTTCTTAGAGAGGGATTCTGCCCGCATCAGGATTTGAGGCAGACAGACTAGTGCAACCACTGGCCTTCTGTTATCAGCCTCGATGGATAAAGATAACCGAGACTCCAGTAGCATTTGCTTTCAGGGATTTGCCAGTAGGCTAAATTTAGTTTAAAATAAAAGTATTAGTGCTATATGTATCTGTATTTTCTGTGACTGCCATCGGTGTGACAGCACGGCTGTCCGTTGGTGCTGGATTACAAGCAGAGGAGTAAGAGCCGAGTGGTCTGTGCCTCTGTGTGCTGAGGGCAGGAGTTGCCTGTATGATTCTGCATCATTTGTCATTCCAAGTGATTCAAAAATACCGTAGAAAGTTATGATCAGCTTTGGATTTGGCAGTTGCGTTTTTGCGCAGTAAACATGTCTTTGCTAACCATTTTAGTCCTTAGGCAAGCTTTTAAGCACACTTGTCAAATAACTTTTAAATATCTGAACAAGCCCTGGCACAGAAGCTTGAAAGCGTTAGGTAATTTGGAGAAGTCTTGCAAAACAGACTGAAATACCATGTCTTCCTTCCCAAAACGTTTGATGTTCTGAGTTAAGTGTTGCCCCGCGTGTTTGCAGTGTCCAGGCGTACCTTTGGAATGCCTGGCACAAAGCTTTTCTCCTTCCTGCTTCGAAATGACAGGAAATTATTGCTCCTTGATGGAGAATTCAGATAAATGCAGAAGGAGTGTTAGGAAGAATCACTTAACTTACAGAATGTGTTTTGCATCAGTTGGCTAGTTTGTGCCTCAAACATACTGCTCACCTAGAAACCTCATCTACTAGTGGCAAATTGCTTTTACCTAGTCCTCCTCCAGTCTTTTTTTTTTTTCTTTTTAAGACATTGACAGAAGATCCTTTGTCAGTCTCAAGAAAGAGATTAACAAAAATCCAGCCTTCACTGGCACTGCTTTTGTTGAATGTACTGGGATATACAGATTCTTAATATTAAATAAAAATAAATTCCAAAATTGAGTGAAGTGCAAAGAACATGATTGAACTTTCAAAATTCATCCATGTTTTGTATTTTCTTTGTAATTTAAAAATCTTTTCATACTTGATCCATAAATATAAAATAGATGTGGGTATGCTGGTCTCTTGTAGATCCAGTGTGATTAGACTCCTGATAACCTCATGTTTAGTCAGCTTCTCCAATGTATTGTTTTCTTTGTTTTTCTTAAAATAGTATTAATTGTAAAGCTCTTACACAATGATGGTGATGCATAATTTAATGAATGGGTATTTTTAGTAGAGGATTTTTTTTTTAACAGTGTTGTTTTTGATAGGTCTGGCACTTGAATAAGAAGCAGAAATTGGAATGGAAGTTAATGGCGGAAAATGGTAGTCTCTTTTGAGAGACTTTTATGATGATACTAGTAATAGTACTTAATTTCTGTACTGCATGAAGTGTGCCCATGGTTCTGCTGAGAGAATTGCTGGGTGAAAAAAGTGTTTGATGGCTTCTTGACAGAGTCATAAGTGCTGCCCTTTTGTCTCCTTTTTTAAGCAGTCTGCTCTGACAACTTGCACAGCTACCACCTGATCTTAGTGCTTAGTAAATGCCCCAGGCCTCATTTCCGCACAGCACCCTGGTAGCAGCTTGATGACTTCTGTCTAGTCATGGTACATTACTTACCTCAGTCTTTCCTAAGGAACTTCTGAATCATCACTTACTTCCTAGATTTTGAGAGCTTTTAAAAATTGTGAATTCTTCAGAAGTATGTTGTTGTCATGGTAATGAAAGTGAAATGCAGAATATGAATAGCCTAATACAGTTGTCATGGTTTTGCAGGTCTTAAGTTTATCTCTGAATGAGTTTAATGCTAGCTTCTATTGCAGCATGTTGAATTGTCCCTAAATTTATTTCCACGCACACATGCATGCATAAAAGATTAAAACATATAAAAGCTAAAAAAGTATCGATTTTGAATATAATGGATTTTTAAAACATTTATTAAAAAAAGTCTCAGCTTCATTAAAGCAGTAAGGAGACTAGCTTTGTTTTGTGTCACTGTGTGTGCAGGTCCTGTTGAACTCAATACATCAACAGTTATCTGGAGTCTGGAGTATATATACACACTTTCCCCCCCACACTCCTCAGTTAGTTTGTTTATTTCTTAGAGTGGGCTAGATGCTACCTAAGTTAAAGGCAGATAATTGATTCAAAAATAGGAAGAAATTTATTTGGAAATATTTCAGATAAATGCCACCAGACTCTATGGATTTTCTTTTAGTTGAAACCAGGTTTTTTTTCAAAGAGTAAAAGCATTATTCTACCAGTTCCTGACTGGCAGGGAAGCTCTACTATTACATATTTCTGTAGCAGTGGCCTCTGAGTGTTTCTGCCTTGTGGATCCATAACAATTTTCTGAGGGAAGCACATGCAGTAGGTGGATGTCTGCTGTGGCTTCGCTTTCACAGGTTCACATTTCTGTAAGTTTCCATTTTACAGACTGAAGGGTGGCCATGATGGGGTGAAGTGTTCCTGGCAGGAAGAAAGAGGAATCAAATTCACCAAAATTAAGTTTTAAGAAGTTGTCTGCTAAAGCAACTTCTGGACGTCACGGAAAATGTAACAGACAACATGTGAAATGACTCAGTGTTTCTTTTGAGAAACACGATAGTAAATGGCAGAACTTGTGTACAAAATATGAGCTCAAAGGTTTTGAAGAGTGTGGCTTCGTGGCATAAAAACAGCTTGTTCAGGATAGAAACGAATGTTTCTGAAGGTGAATTTCTGAGATTAAGCTGAGGCTAACTTTTACCGGAACTCAGGAAAACGGCAAATTAAAAGTTGTCTAATTCTCATTAGTATTGCTTTCTCATATGCTGTATAATTTTCTTTTTTTTTTAATTAAAGGCAAATCCCCCTCCAGTGCTGGTGAACACAGATTCTTTGGAGACTCCAACATACGTAAGCATACACTTGCTTTCCATTCTAACTGTGGATGAGGTTTTATGTATGTACTTGTGTAAGTCTGTTGTTGTTTAATAAAACCTATTTTACCTCTCTAATGGTTCTTGATTTCATCAGCTGTCCTGGTAGTTGTTTGAAGTCCTTAAATAGCTGTTCCCTGAATAAGAGGGGTTGCAGATTGCAGGTGGAAGGTTCTGTGTGAGTACCCATGTGTGATGGTGCAAAACACAGTTTGAGGTTCCAGAGGTTCAATGTTCAGAGAACAGTCTGTTTCTTCAATTGTTCAGGCAGATGCTTTAATATTTAATGTGCCATTTCCGATGCACTTCACTTAAAAACACTTCTTCATGCAATAGCTGTACTTAAGATTTTAGTGCTCTAAATGTTTATAAAAATTGATTTATTTGGTTCAAAACATTAAGGTAATAAGTGTAGTTACATGGAGGCTAAAATTTCTGTTTGTCAGTTTGCATTTGGTGATAGGAACACCACTGGCAGGTAGAGAGTTCGGAGGCTTTGAAATATATGTAAGTTTGGCATAGGTTTCGGGTCTGAATTTTCACCTGTACCTTCCTTCTATAGTTACGTGTTTCCCACTTGCTTGTCATTTTCCTGAACAGTGTTAATGCCTGTACTAGTTACTTTAGATTGCATTTATTCAAAGTATGGGCATCAACAAGTAAAGAGTAAATCTTGTCCTTGTCAGAAGCATTCATAATTTAGTGATGTTGTTAGAAAGGAGCTGTAATAACTCCAGACAGACAAAATTATGAATTAACAGTTTAAGCAGAAGATGGAAGATGAGTACAGTGACATAATTGGCTCATAAATGAGTCTTGAGTGTAAAAATGGTGCTTCTGACTGAAAGATCACAGCAGTAGCCTGCAGTGGCCCTTTTACCGATGTGATGCAGATACAGTTTAAAGTTTACAGCAGGTGAGGTGTCTCACTAAGCACACGAATTAAACCAGGAAGAAAAGTGATTAATAAATATGTCGTCACATTTCAGAAGGCTCTATCTGATAGAAGCACATGGAGAACAGTAGATAATAGAAATAAGAAGAGAAAATAGCATTAATGGAACAAATTGACACTTAAAATTATAAGCTATATAAATTATCCATTTACAGTGAATGCAAAACAAACAAGCCCATAACTATCTGTAATTTAACCTACTCTGTAAGCGTAGGAGGTTCCCAAGTAGCTAATGGAATTGTTAAGCAATAAATTGTGTAACCTCATATTTGTGAGGTAGCTGCATTGAAAATCTACAAAAAAACCCGCTTAAATATTAAAGCTTTTTCTACTGAAAGAATAAAAAAGCAAAATATGAATCTAGAAAGTCATCAAGGAATAAATGGCCAAGAAGGCAGCTCTCGTTACCCGAATAATAAAGCCAATGAATCCCTCTTAGAACGCAAACTGGGTTGGAAAAAAACTGCTACGAATCGTAATTTTTTTTATTTTATTTGTAAAAGACGAAGGAGATACAAACAAAACTCAAGTTGGGGGCCCATGAAAAGATTAACCATAGTGGAGAAATGAACTTCAGTACAGCCAAAATCTCTGACCAAATTCTGCTGAACTACTAATAAGGTTTCAGATTCAAAAAAGATTGCTGGGGAAAATTACAGCATTTGCTTAGAACTTCCTTCATCCAGGGGAAATCACTGCAAATAGGGCTTAGCTTAGTGGATCTGAGATCACTTCAAACCTTGCAAAAGGTAGACGAGAACAGTGTTTTGTATCGTCTGATGTGTCCTTGCTCCTGTCTCTGCAAATAATCGGTTTGTTAGAAAAGATAAATTCAAAGATAAATTAAAAAAAAACAAAACAAGGGAGGAAAAATGAGGGTCTAGAGAACTGATCTAAACCAAAGCAAAACCTAAAAATAATGGAGGTTCTTGCTTGATCTTATTTTTATCTAGATGATATTTTAAAATTGGATTATGGAGTTTTGTACATGGAAATAAAGAGGAGACCGCTTAAATATATTAGGTTTGGCTTTGTTTTGCTGGATAGTAATGAATAGGGAAATGATTAATTTGTTAAAAAAAAAAGCAGCGTCATGATCAGTCATCATGAACCATTTCCCAGGTATTGTAATTCGGGATGACTGGCTCAGTTAGCACATGTTGTCATTCTTGTAGATAATAGCTCAAAGACTGAGCTAACAGAAAAACTTCATCGCGGTGGCTCCCTTTGTGTCGCTGTAGTGATAGATACAGTTTCATGTATTCAGAAGGTCGAGACCTCTTCCCTTTTTAATGGAGAAATATCATGTGTTAGGTCCACAGTATCTATTGCACTGCACAAACGAGTAAGGATATAGTAATTTTTGAGGTACTGTGCAAAGATAATAACCGGTTACGTCTGGAACGGACGTGGCTTCCAATGTATTAAGACGAGACTGAGGAAAAACTGTAGAGAGGGATAAATGAGCTTCATCTTGGACAGCTTGTGAAAGCTGTGTCATCTCCAGCTTTTAGAGCTTCTAAAATGTTAAATATATGAGGAATGAAGTCGATGTGATCTTAATTTTGTTTGGAGTTAATTAAAGTCCCTTTTTAAATTCTCTGGTAGAAAACTGTACAGATTTTAAAATGCTTTCTTCTATAAATATATTTTGTATCTTTACAAAATCCTCGGTAGTTTGTTGAGAGTACAGAAGACTACCAGATATAGAATAATTTAAAAATAGACAAGATGCTTTGTAAAATAATAGGATAAATATTATTTCTTACTTGTGAAAGATTTTGCCTTAAAAGGCTTGAAATAGGGAATTGCATGTAACTGAATGTTGTATGTGCTGCTGTAGGTACCTGTGGAGAAAAGAATTTGAGTTCCAAGTTACTTTGGCAAATGAAAAGAAAATCTTAATGTTATTTTTATATTAAATATGTTTAAGAATTTGATATTTAATTGTTTTTGCTTAACTTAGATGTTACTTCCTTCATTTCATCCTAGTTCTGTAGGCAGCAAAGAGTGGATATCCTTTTTAACTCGAGGATGACAGGGCTTACTTCTATTACGGGGGTTTTTCATCTAGCTTTATGAAATATTCTTCTAATCTCTTCTGGTTTTGGTCCTGTTTTAAGTTATTCATCTTTGGTGTATATACGTATATAAAACCTAACTAATGATAAAAACTCTTACTGAATGTTCCTTTCTTTGTCTTACGCATTTCCAGTGAGAAATGTAGTAAAGCATTAGTCTTTGATTTTTCTCTGCTCTGTGAGGAACAATAGGTAGAAAATACTGCTCTGATCTTCTACACAGTTTCTCTATGCCCACAACCCCTTTCTTTTTTCTCAGTTTCAACTTGCTGTATGTCCTGAGGAATATCTGAGGATCTCAAGAGTGGTTTTTTTCCTGGCAGTCAGGAGCCTCTGCTCTACAGAACAGCCTGCTCTCTGAAATCTTAACTTTTAAACTCATACAAAAAGAGTGTGTGATTCGTGTACAGAGGAGAGTGAAAATCCCACGTCCCCTCTGAGCTCAGTGGTCACTGGGAATCAGCTGAGATTTGATGGGAGAGAACTGGCAGCTGAGCAAGCTGTGTCATGTAAAGTGTAAAATTCTCTGTAAGTCTCACTTTTCTTTCTTTATAGGTCAATGGCACGGATGCAGATTACGAGTATGAAGAAATTACTCTTGAAAGGGTAACGTGCTAAATGTTTTTCTGTACTCGGTTTTAGATGGGATTTATGATATTTCAATATGAAGAATTAACTCCTGAATGGCGATCCAAGACAATCCTTATTGTTTAGTTTGTTTTTTCTTTAAGTAGATTATTTAACCTAAGGAAAAAACACCTTGTTGCTGGAGCAGGAATAGAAATTTTTATTAACATCTTTCGTCATTAAGAGTAAAATGGGGGAGGGATCTCGCTGAGACATAATGCAATTAAAGCTATTATCTTGGCTTGTGGAGAGTAATAACGCAAATTATGATTTTATTTCCTATATTTCCATTTTTGATAGGCCTTTTTTTACCATTAAGCTTTATATTGAGATTTAGGCTTCCAGTTGAGATTACAAGAGACACCGTGTCATATGCATTGCTTTAAGTTTGCAGTGTTGAGATCTGTCTCAGATCTTTGTTCTTGAGCTGCCCTGTTAGCAAAAAGAAAGAAAGAAATGGTTGTCTTGGGTACCTGTGCGGTGCTGGTGGTTACTGAGAGGGTGAAGAGATCTTGCAGTTGATAGTAAGGGCAGGCAAGACTTGAAAGAGAAAATGCCAGTCTGAATCTCTGTGAGAATGTGTTAGATATGTGGCACAAATTACTTGGGGGCTTCTCTGGGAAAAATAATTTGTCACTAATAATTTAGTGAGGAGCAAATACTCATATGAATAATCTCAAAGACCTAGCTCACTGGGACGAGAAGTTTTTATCTAGTTTATCAAGCTCACTTCAACGAGAGAGCTGTGGGGTTGGAACTGTATCTCTTACAGTTACACAATGACTTACGTTCTCCTTCCTTCTGTGAAAATAAGTATAATTATATCTTATGTATGACTATATGTAACATAATGCTTAAAGTGTCTTGTAATATCTTTATCAGTGAAAATTATGTAGATTTTGTTCTATATTGAATCAAATAGATATACTAGAATATATTTTCCCCCAAAGAAATGTGTAATTTTTTTTTTTTTCCCACTTCTACCTTTAGGGAAATTCAGGACTTGGCTTTAGCATTGCAGGTGGTACAGACAACCCACATATTGGGGATGATTCAAGTATTTTCATTACAAAAATCATAGCTGGTGGTGCAGCTGCACAGGATGGAAGATTACGGTATGATGGTTTTCTGTGTTGGGTTGCTAAATGTTTATTATTACATTTTCAAACAGTGGCTATAACTTTCTGTTATTTTTAATAATTTTGTCATGCTACATTACATTTTAAATATGTTTTTCCGGCTTAAGTATTTTGTACATAATGAAAAACAGTTAAGTGAACCAATTTTATTTTTTGAACCAATAAAATCTGCAGTTAAGTGAGATTAAGTGAATTTTATCTTTTCTATTTTAGGTATAAATTGATTATGCTGTATGTTTTATAGCCCTTAATGCAATATGCAAAGGGAAAGCTTAGACAGGATAGGTAACTCTTGGTTATCCATGTGCAGATTTTGTGATCTGCAAGACAGCTGAGCGTATCAACTTTCTTCTGTGCTTCATATAATTCTGTGTCTTAATTTTTCATAGATACTACACATCTTAAAAGCAGTATTTTTTTGTGTAAATTAATAGAGAACACCTTCTCTAGTATACCCCCTTTATTATCTTATGCTGGTACTACTACTTCTAATGAGGAAATGTTGACATGTTACTAGATGGTAGCAAGTGATATTTGCAACGTTTTTTGAAGAGTGCTGTTAGAAATTAATAACAAATTGCATTAATAAATGATTTTTCTAATGCAGAGATAAGTATACTCCTGTGTCACTGTGTGGGGGAAAAAACCCCAGCTTTTTGTTCTCTGGTAGTGTCAAGAACTTGCCCCATCCTTTTTGGTGCAAGTGCCTGATGCATCACGGTTTTTAGTCCTAAGAAGCTTATTCCAAGGCTTCGTTTTAGCTAGTTGGCCATTGGCTGAGGTACATCTGGCCCAGCGCAGGGACAGGTGGGTCAGGCATTGTGCTTTGCGGAAGGAGAGCTCGGTGTTACTACAACAACACGGTAGATGGAGTGGAAGAGCAGCACTTAAACAGCTTGTGAAAAGCGGGAAAGGAGCTTCACTTGTTCATGCCATGGCTTAAAACTAGTATGTTCTCACTGCGTGCCTCCTAGTTGCTGAATGTCGGAATTTTCTTATAGCCCTAAACAAAAGGCAGTTGGTACAAAACTCTCTTTGAAATAGTGTTTAAATGAAACACAGGTAAGATGGTGTCCTCTTGGGCTGTGAGCAAAATATTCCTCCTAAAAGTTTTCTAGCAGTCCTGCTTTTATTTTAAGCACTAAAAATTTATTTTAGAACATTGTCTTGAATCAGGAAAATTTTGAAGCAAAATCTGTGTATCCTAGTATGTTAGGATATTTTAGATAAAACGTTAAGCTCCTAATGTGTCCACTCTGCTGTGACACAACAGCTGAACATGAGTGTTGCTGTCTCTAGGGTTAACGATTGTATTCTACGAGTAAATGAGGTGGATGTTCGTGATGTGACACACAGCAAAGCAGTTGAAGCATTGAAAGAAGCAGGATCGATTGTACGATTGTATGTCAAAAGAAGAAAACCAGTCACAGAAAAAATAGTGGAAATCAAACTTGTAAAAGGCCCTAAAGGTATGTGGGAAGTATAAAGCCTTTTTTTTCACAAGAAGGATAGAGTTGATGTTAGCTTTCCACATTTATTTTTTGAAACAAAGTAGTAATTTACATAATGGCTTGTCAGATGATTCTGAATTTTTATCTGTGTGTCTCAAACCTGTTCTTATAGAATGCATATTTTTCTTTCAAATTATAAAAATATATTTCTAATAGTAATTAAGTATGTTACAAATTGGAGTAAAATGTTTTATCGAATTACCTAGAAAGGAACTTTGAGAGATTAAAAATATCTAGAGAAAGTATTATTTGTTTATCTGTCACTAAGTGTTGGGCAATTGTTCTTTAAGTATCAATGGTGTTGCTGTAGCTCTGCTGTGTGCATCTTTCACAAGGCATGAAGTAAATCATTTAGCTTTGGATTTTCATAACTTGTGTAAATGCTACATCTTTTCCAGAACTTTCTGGAAAATAATACAGTTTACTTGGAAAGGCATCAAGTATTACTTTAGCCAGAGCCTAATATTTTTATATATTTGTATGATAATGAATGCTGAAAGATTTCTTCAGTATTGACTTTATCTTCAAGCAGGTCTTGGTTTCAGTATCGCTGGTGGTGTAGGAAATCAGCATATACCTGGAGACAACAGCATCTATGTAACCAAAATCATCGAAGGTGGGGCAGCACATAAAGATGGCAAACTTCAGATTGGAGACAAACTTTTAGCTGTAAGAGCCGTGTTTTTTTACCATTGTTCGCTTATAGGCCCAATCAAGTCGTGATTCATTTTGTGGTTAAGCTGCCTGCCAGTGGAGTGTTATTTCACAGAAATCTGTAAAAAAAAATGTTCAACACCGTCTCATCAGGAAATCTGAAAGCTGTTCCTCAGCCCAATGTTTCATTCAAAACTTCTGTTAATCAGCGTCTTTATTTCTGATGCCTGCTGTTATTTTTCTGGGTTCTAAATGATGGGCTTATAAAATAACATACAATGGGATTGTTTCTCTCTTCAAAAAAGAAGAATAGAAAGGAACTTCGTGTACTGGTGGCTGACCAGCCTTTAGTGAAACTGCTGCTTTTATTCAATTTTAGGAATTTTTGTTAGAAATATCAAACTTCTGTGACAAATTAATTTGTCCATTATTGCCTGACAAAATTAAATAAAGTAGCATTAGATTAGTGTCAGACACTGTTTTGAGAATGCAGGAAAGCATATGCAATGTGCTACTGGATAAGTAAATATAATGTCCTAATTGACTGTAACTGTAATCATTCTCTCAGTTCGTTAAGGAAGAGGGGAGTGATCTTCTGATGAGCTGAATTTTTCTTACTCAAAGCTTTAGTCACCAATGTAGAGATGAGGTCCCATATTTTGAGAATGAAACTTTCTGTCTGTGTTTAGATTGTACTGCAGTTACCAATGCACTGCGGAATGAGATCTCGGTGGGATTTTAAATCTGTTTAAAAAAACCCCTCAAAATTGGTAAGAGGCTTTTAGGAAACTTTTAGAAATAGAGATGGAAAGAATATATTTAAGCACTAGAATTTTGCCCCCACGAATAACAATTGACAAGGCTCAATTGTTTTTATACAGTATCTAAAGTCAAATAATAAGGAAACATTTCCCATGTTGCCTGGAATTATCTGCAGAAGTTACTTCCCTCTTCAAAATATGGAAGAAAGAGTCAACAACTCAGTTTACTAAGGCTTTATATAAGATAATTGTTGAAGTTTTGTTTATTCTTTTTTTTAAACTGAACTGCTAGTGTTTCACCCCAGTAGCAACAGTTTGAAAAAATTTGTTGCTTGTAAAGTTAAACTGGTTCTTATTAGCTGGCATGCAAGTCAGTCACCTCGGGATGTCCTCCAGTTTTCATCTCTACTTTTGGCCTTTTGCAAGAATATGTTGTCTCATTATAACGTCTAGATCTTACTGTGTTGTGACAAGATTGTGTAGGATTTATTCTTACTAGAAGAAACTTTCTTCTTTTAATGCTTGCAATAACATACTGTGTCAGTGATGTGATGGGCATTTTGAGTGTTGTATTTGCCCCATTAGCTTTCCAAAATTGTATGTGCCTTGTTTACAGTGTTACGGTCAATACAATTTATTATAATCTTGTTAGGAAAGACTTGTATTATTTCACAGCCCTACAAAGCAACTCTTCTATAACTTTCACATAACCAGTTATGCATGTGGCATGTGAATCTTAATAATGACTCTAAATGCCAGAGCGCTCAAACAGCTTACACTGAGTCCCTTGTGAAAATGTGCATTTTTTTGTGTTGAGACTTGTGGTCTTTTTTCTTTAGGTGAACAGTGTTTGCTTAGAAGAAGTTACTCATGAAGAAGCAGTGACTGCCTTAAAAAACACATCTGACTTTGTTTATCTGAAAGTTGCAAAACCCACAAGCGTGTTCATGAATGACAGTTATGCCCCTCCTGACATCACAAACTGTAAGTTCAGCTTGTCTTTGGGATTTATTTTTTTTCCTTTAAGGCTTAAACATACTCCATTTTTAGTATTTCACCAGGTTCAAGCTTCTTAAAATTATGCAGTGTGAAAATCTGAGATAAGAAAGTTGATTAATCAGGAAAAGTATATTCCAAACAGAGGAGCATCCTCTAGCTTGTGTGCTGGGCAGACAGCAGCAGTGGGGTGCTTCCTGTGTGTCTGGGACTGATGTGGCCTCATCCTAATGTCTCGGTGTTTCTGATCACTCACTGGTGAGTACAAGGAGAACATGTGCCTCATTTTTTGTGGGGGCTGTGAAGAGTAACAAACAATGCACTGCGTACATGTTCAGTGTCCAGTGAACTGAGCAAAAGGCAGTACTGTTTCAGGTAGAGGTTAGTGATGTTCTGACTTATTTCTTTTCTGCTTTTTCATGAGGTGTCTGTATTTAAATAAACTGTACTGGGAGGAGGGGGAGGTCTTGACCTCTGATGCCTGCCTGTGAACATGTTGCAAAATTCCATATTAACTTACTTGAAATTATGCTTCAGTTTCGACATAATTGTTGATAATTCAAGCAGAAAACCAGTGAATATTGCATTGAAAATAAATAAGAATTTCTTTTTGGCATAGGGATACTACAGAGAAGTATTTCTGAAGTCAGACATCCAAATCTGGAAAGTTCAGGGTTGAATGTGAAAAAACAAATTAAAAATTTTCATTGAATGTACTTTTTTCTGCAAGAGGGATATTACCATTTCGTGTCTGGACAAAAGGATGAGCATTCTCATGATATAACTGTATTGTTCCAAGACTGAACTTTTCTCGGTCACCAATTTTACTTGTCTCTTGAAATGGTTTGGGGGGAGAGTATCTAGTTTGTCCAATAATTCAACCTTTCCCACTGTTTCCTTGACAGGCAGACTAATTTGTCCTCTCTCCATCATAACTGACCTCTTCATATGTTTCCACTTAAATTCAAATTTTCTGGAACACAAAACCTGATTTGAATGTATTGTTTCTTGTAGTGTTGCAGTAATGCAATTACACAGCTGTGGGTGGTGATGCAACAAACACAGAAGTATCTTATCTATTACCGCTGTTTCTTGACTCGATCATTGGGATATTTACTTTATGCATCTTTTGTCAGAGCAAAGGCCTAAGAAGGGTTGGGGAGAGGAAGCTAGAGGAGGAGCTGGCTCCTAATAATTTACCCAATCCTAACAAATCAAGTCACATTTACTTACTCTTGCTCAGTGCCACCTATTATTAAAAACCAACTTGGAATAAGGCTTAAATGCACAATCACAAAGCACTATAGTATATAGAGGGCTAGTTACCTATTTTGGGAGGAAAACTGCAGTTTGTGTGAGTGGAGGAAAGAATCTATAGTAGGATATGAAAAACCTGCTCCTTTATGAGGTGACTGTAAAGGAATGGTTGCATATAAATGTAGATTTTCACTTTAAATTTCTATGTGCTTTGGTAGTGTTCATTAAATGATAGTTTGATCTTAAAACTACTGTCTGTAGGCTCAAAAAGTTAAAACCAGAGATACCACACTTGGCATGGCTGTAGTTCAGGTTTAGGTGGGTGGGATGATTGCTGAGAATCTTCGAAGCAGTGGTCATATTTCCTCTTTGACTTCAAATTGGTGCTCTCCTTTCAGTGATTATTTTGTTCTTTTTGGGTGATTATTTTGTTCTTTTATTCACATTATCTGTACTAATACGTACATTTAAAGAAAAGTTTGCACTGACGGTATGTATAAGGGCATGCTGTGGGCCCTCTTGTCATACAGTAAATTAATTTCTCTCAGATGTTTCATGAACTGGTGAAGTCAGTTCATTGAAGTTAATTGCATTGTAACAGAGCCATAAAAGAGGCAGTGGTATCTTCATGAACATCTTCTTATGTCCAGTGACTCTTCAGGAAAATTCTGTGAAGGGTAATCCCACACGATTGCCATGAGGATCTTGGCTTGACCTGAGTCCTTAACTTCCTGATATACATGATTTAGTCTCACATCCATTTTTCTGGAGGTGAATGACCTGGTCACACATGTAGACCCTCTTTTGTCCCATTACTGTCCTGCCTCTCAAGTTTCTCTCTGTTTGGCTGCTCTCCCTGTAAATGAGACTTGAGACAGTGGCATTCTGTGCTGCCCAGTATCCTGCCCTTTGTGTTAGTAGCATTTCTGTCCACGGAGAAGTGAAAAGCCATTCTCTTGAGCTGTCATGCAGTCAAGCTCCAGCAGCTGCTTCGGGCAATTGAAATGTTTTGAAAAAATTACACAAGATTTTTCAGATTCCGGGTGTCTGTCAGTCTGTTGTCCTTTGGTGACCGTTGACAAGGTTGGTTAGCCGAACTGCTGTCTATATTTTTGAGTAGATTTTCTGGGTTTAATGTCATTTAGCTGCAGTTTTTGCAGAATCATAGAATGGTTTGGAGGGGACCTGAAAGATCATCTAGTTCCAACCAGCTGCCAGGTTGCTCAAAGCACTCTCCAGCCTGGTCTTCAACACTTCCAGGGAGGGGGCATCAGCAGCTTCCCTGGGCAACCTGTTCCAGTGTCTCTGCACTCTCACAGAAAAGAATTTCTTGCTAATATCTAATCTAAATCTTCCCTCTTTCAGGTTACTGTTTACCCCTTGTCCTGTCATTCCTTGATAGAAAGTCCCTCCCCATCTTTCCTGTAGATCCCCTTTAAGTACTGGGATGCTCCTGTAAGTTCTCTCTGGAGCCTTTTCTTCTCCAGGCTGAAAAACTCAACTCTCTCAGCCTGTCCTTGTAGGAGAGGTGCTCCAACTCCCTGAATCATCTTCATGACCCTTCTCTGGACCTACTTGATCAGTTCCATTTTTTCCTTTATGCTGGGGGCCCCAGAGCTGAACACAGCACTGCAGGGGGGTCTCCAAAGAACAGAGCAGAGGCAGAATCACCTCCCTTGACATGCTGGCCACACTTCTCTTGATGCAGCTCAGGATGGGATTGGCTTTCTGGGCTGTGAGTGCACGTTGCTGCCTCATGTTCCATTTTTCATCCTCCAGTCCCCCAAGTCCTTCTCTGCAGGGCTGCTCTGAACACACTCGTTGCCCAGCCTGTATTTGGGCTTGGGATTGCCCTGACCCTGGTGCAGGACCTTGCACTTGGCCTTGCTGAACTTCGTGAGGTTTGCATGGGCCCAGCTCTCCAGCCTGTCAGGGTCCCTCTGGATGACATCCCTTCCCTCCAGCGTGACCAGTGCACCACACAGCTTGGTGTCGTTGGGGAAACTTGCTGAGGGTGCACTCGATCCTGCTGCCCACGTCACCAACAAAAATGAACAGCATTGATCCCAACATGGACCCCAATCACACATCGAACTGTTGACCACAGCTCTTTCAGTGTGACCATCCAGCCAGTTCTTTATCTAGCAAGTGGCCCATCCCTCAAATCCACGTCTCTCCGATTTATGTTGCATGGGGCGGTGTCAAATGATTTACACAAGTCCAGGCAGATTACATCAGTTGCTATTCCCTTATCCACCAAATGCTGTAGCTCCTTCATAGAAGGCCACCACATTTGTCATACACGATTTGCCCTTAGTGAAGCCATGTTGGCTGTCGCCAGTCACCTTCTTGTTTTCTATGTGCCCCAGTGTAGTTTCCAGGGGGATCTGCTCCATGACCTTGCCAGGCACAGAGGTGAGACTGTCTGGCCTGCAGTTCCATTTTTCAAAATGGGGGGGTTATGTTTCCCCTTTTCCAGTCAGTGGGATATTTTACCGGTTTTAACCTTTAGTCCTCTGTCTGAAGTTCCTTCGTTTATTTCACATTGTTTCTGGTAGAATTTTGTCAACAGTTAACCAAAGAAACAGCTGCCTGCAAAGATCTGGGTCCGTTGATGAAGCATCAGCCTATATCTCTTCCTTAAATCAGGAAAGCCTTTCCTACCCGAGGCTTCATACGCTTGTCTCTCTCTGTTGATCAAAGTGCAGCTGACTGTTACTGCAGCTGGCATGGAGACTCTGGAGCTACTGCCTGAATTTTCCACACAGAATAGATCCAAAGGTCTTGCCTGAGGTGTTTAATGACTTAATTCAATAAAATGAGTTTAGCCTTTTCCTAAATCTTTCACTTTTTAGAAACAACTGCAGATGGCTAAGATGCTAAATGCTATTTTTCTAATACAGAACAAAAACTTTTTCAGTACTCTTCAGTATTCTCACATTTACAATGGAAATTTCAAAGGGAGATACCAGTCTCCACAAAGGCTATTGCTTCTTTAGAAACGGGTAATATAATTTTGCAACTAGAAAGCCTCTGCTTTCTGTAAGGAGCTGCTCAAATAGATAGCACTCACACCAAAAAAAAGGGATGGCTCCTTTACATAGTATTTTGAAGCTGATATTTTCAGGGCCACCATTTCAACGTTTGTTTGCACCTCCGTCTCATCTCAGATGAGACCTCCAAAAGCGATGCTGCATTTTGCAGGGGGGTACCTGGCTTAGTAGCTTTAGGTGAGGGACTTGAAGAGCTTTTCCCCTATGGCAGGTATGAAAGAGATATTTTCTAATATCACCTGTATTGTGCGTGCACGTTGAAACAGATACCAGTCTTTCTTCTTTAGCTACTCACTTGCAGCTGTTTTGAGGTGTGTATTTGCAGTCCTCCTTCGTATTTCTGTCCATTCGAATCCTCTTGCCCAGGTTCAGGCCCATCATAAAGGAGAAGTAATGCGTACTATTCCTTGATTATATATAAATACTGGATCTCTTAAGTCTGCACAGAGGCTGCCCATGAACATGTCCATTACAGGTCATGAAGGTAGAAACCCTGTCTGCTACTTGAGTGTCTGTGTAGGCTGCTTACTGCCCAGTTGGTTAGGGTTTTTTATTTTATTTGTGTGGCTTTTTTTTAGGCAGTCATTTTATCAGAAACATCTAAAAGCACACTGCACAGTACTGACCAGCTTGGTATCTGTACTATCTAGAGAACATGCAGTAGATTGCTCACTGTGATAAATTTTGTGAACGTGGTAGTTTGTTCAAAAGCCGACAAACCAGCAAATTCAGAATTTGCTTGTCTTTAAAACTTTCTTTCTGGAACTGGTCTAGTTTAGTTATAGGGCTGTCTCACTTTCCTTGGTGATCACAGAATCACAGAATGTTTAGGGGTTAGAAAGGACCTCGAAAGATCATCTAGTCCAGCCCCCCTGCCAGAGCAGGATCCCCTAGGGCAGCCACACGGGAACACATCCAGGCGGGTTTTGAAAGTCTCCAGAGAAGGAGACTCCTCAACCTCTCTGGGCAGCCTGTGCCAGGGCTCTGTCACCCTCACCGTAAAGAAGTTTCTCCTCATGTTGAAGTGGAACTTCTTCCTATGTTCTAGCTTATACCCATTTTTCCTTGTCCTGTTATTGGGCACCACTGAAAAGAAATTGTCCCCTTCCTCTTGGCAGCCACCCCTCAGATATTTATACACGTTAATAAGGTCTCCTCTCAGCCTTCTCTCCTCAAGACTAAACAGCACCAGTTCTCTCAGTCTTTCATCATAGGAGAGATATTCAAGTCCCTTAATCATTCTCGTAGGTCTCGGTTGGACTCTCTTCAATAGGTTCCTGTCTCTTCAGAATTGGGAAGCTCAAAACTGGACACAGTATTCCAAGTGTGGTCTCACCAGGGCAGAGTAGAGGGGGAGGAGAACATCCCTACAATTGCTGGACACACTTTTCTTAATGCAAGTAGATTTAAAATGCAGAACTAAGGATAATGAAGAACTGTTTGAGAACCACGTTCACAAATCCCAGCATCTAGGCTTTCTGCAAAATCTGTTTTCTTTTGGAACTCCTGTAGTAGGGGTACCAGCCTCTAGTTCAGTCTGTCAGGTGGTCTGATGGCACAAAAAAAATGAGACAAAGTAGATTAGCAACCATATAGATAATGAAATAATTTGGTATTTCTTCTGGCTTAGTATCTTTGAATCAAGGGACATTTGATCAAGAGGTTTCTGAGATGCTGATTTATGGCAGTAACTATATTCAGAAGAGTACAGAACATGCCAACGTTGTGCACCTGGGGCTGAAAATTGGCCTCGTCATTTGGTATTTATCAGAGTGAGTGAATGGCTTCTGGCTGCCCATGGAGGAAGTTGATGTTAAAAATCTTGTTAAAGAAGAGTTGGGGCTGTCTGAGAACAGAGCATTTAGCAGGGAAGGTAGAGAAAGTAGCCGTGGTTGTGTGCTGAAGCTCCACAGACTGGTGCGTATATGGGTGAGAAAAGCTTGACCACGTCCCTTTTGCTTCTGTGAGGTTTTTCCTTTAACCATTGAGGTGTGGATTGATGATTTAAATAGTTACTTTACAGCGATGTCTATTTTTGACTCAAGAATAATGCAGTTGAGCACATTGCTATTTGAGTACTGTTCTGCTGTGTGGTGCCCAGTCTCTGAGGCACCAGAAGACAAAAACTTCCAGTATAGGAAACATGGAAATTCAGTAAAAAAACCCCCTATGTTTGTGGCATGCAGAGGAGTAACAGCATTGTACCTGGGATGGTCTTGTAGACCGATCGATGCCTCCCCGCTGGCTGGCACCACTGACTGCCCAGCTGGCTTGCGGGTTTGATCCTCACAGCTATGGGTCGTCTGTAGTAGGTCATCTGGCAGAGGGAATATTAACTGCCGCGGGAGTCTATGTGCGAATGTTCAGTAACACATTGTTATAAATGCTCTTATTCAGTTGATATATTACTAAGAAGGTCTAGAACTTGCCATTTAAAAACACCAATATAACCCGTACAGTGCATGTTATGGGATATGAGAACCAGCAAAGTGTTTACACAGGTTTTGAGAGACAGAGAACTTGCTTCTTATACAGGCCTCCTTTGAAGATATCAGTAATGATGATTTTTGACTCCTAGTCAATTTTAAGGTATTTTTCCTGTATTTGTGTTTTTCTGCCATGTACTAAAAAATAAAATACTGCAAGGTAGGAAATAGTTTCCTCACTGAAGACATAAATGCCTTGTCATTCCTTAAACATCGTATGTACAAAGAGAAGAATGTAATAACAGTAAATGATACTAAAGTTTTAATTTTATTTAACATTTTAGAGATGGTACTTCTGATTGGTGTCCGTAGTTTGCAGATACCTGGGAAATATCTTCCATTTTGTTTAGAACTGTGTTACTTCAGGGTTGGAGTAAATTTGAAAATAGAATTTCTCCTTAAGACAATTTCTTTTTGAGAGCTATTGACTTTTTCTATCAAAATAAGTTCATTTTATGCATGTAACTTTTTCTTCATCCAAAATGCAGTTCCTTTATCAATTACATCAGTAATAATATGTACTTGGAAATTTAGAAGTTTAGACCTGATTTAGGATTCAGAAAGTGATGGCTTGCCTTTATTTTCTTTCATGTTCCTCATGAATATTCTTCAGGTATCATATTCAGCTAAAACAGTTTTAGGAAAGGCACAGGAACTCCATGGCGAGACTTTTTTTATGCCTTGTAGGTTTGCTTCCATAGTGCTGAGCATACTGGCCTTGAGGAAGGGGCTCTGTGTGTGTGTTTCTGAATGTGATGCAGTTAAGAACTTTAGGAACCTTAAAAACAATTAAATGGAAAGCACTGTAAGTTATTGAACATAGAATTTGTTATGAAAAATCTAATTACTTCCTATTAAATATGCATTGTTATAGCTGTCATTGACTTGTTAGAAATAATTGTGAATTCATCTTGTGAAATGAGAAAATTTAGTTCATGAAGAGAACATACAAAGCTACTGTACTGTGCTACAATTATTTAGCTGCTTTTTAATCAAACCCCATTTTTCACTAATTGGAAAAGCTCATGAAGTCCGTGTTCCATTTTTTTGTGTGTTTTAACTGTTAAATTTTCTGAGGAAACCCAAAATAACTGTATGTATGTACAGTAATATTTTTTTTTTTTAGTTTTCTGAGTTTTGCTGAAACCACTTGTGAATCCAGAGTTGGAATTTCGGAAAGTTCTGCACAGTCCCGGGCTAGAGCATGCAACGCGGAAAGCTTGTGTATCTGAATGACGAGCTTTGTGCTTGATCAGCTCCTGCTTTTGAACTACCGAAGTTGTTAGTGGTGGATTTTAGTGCTTGCTGAAACACATTCTAGAAAACTGAAAGGACTCTAATACTGTAACAAAGCTTTAAAGAATAAGAAGCCATCTGGCTAATTAGCTACGATACCAGATGTTATAGGCCAGGCATTAAGATACCATAGGTGGTTGCCTATTTGGCTTGGCACCTCTTTTATTAGACCATTGATTAGGGTAAATCAGTGCTAATTTCATACATATGCCATGTATAGAATCTCCTGCACACAGGTTTACTAAAAATCTAGAATAATACAGAATCAATCCAGCACAGACTGGGTGGTTTGAAAGCTGGCTATTTCTGCAAATTTGTCATACAAAAATACTCTTGAAGTTTGTATATACCCAAATGTCCTGCCAGTGGTTTAAAAAAGGAAAATATACAGGTCGCTCCTGCAGTCTGTCATGCCTGTTCATTTAAAAAGCTTTGCGTTTAAGGTTAAATCCTCAAAGGTCAGGAACCACATCAGATACAGCAAGCAGGTAACAACAAAGAGAGCCTGGCAGCTTCTGTGAAGTGTCCCCACCCTCCATGTTTAAGCCACAAAACTTTGAAGCATCCACACAACAATCAAGATTTTCAGTCTTAGAATATGCTTTGTAACAGGAGCCAGTGGTTATGGGTACACCTGGTGAATGGACACTTAAAATTGATGTGCCTGATTTGGAAATATATTGCACCCTCTTAATTATTTATTGGAACAACTCTTCTGGAGTTGTAGACTATTTTCCATGGACACACAGACTTCATGCACAGGATTCGTGGCATGTTACGCAGGAGGTTAGATTAAATGCTCTTAATACTCCTTTCTAGTTTTAACCAATGAACTGACCCTTGCAGTACAGTTGGAATTTTTTGCACTAGCTTATTTATTCCTCTCAGTAAATTGGTATCTCTTACCTTGAATAATAGGAGGTGGAATAACCCTACCTTTGGTTCTTGATGAGTGCTGTGACTGAGCACATCACTCCCAGCTCGTGTGCTGTTTAAGATGGTTTTGTTCAGAGTCTAAGATGAGGTCCCTCCCTGTTCAGACCTGGTGGTCAGAAGGCTTGGAGTGCTCTGGAGGCTCGGGTGCTCCGCGTCAAGGCATTGAAAGGGCAGAGATAGGCAGCTTCACAGTCCGAAGTGGATCATTAAAGTGCTGGATTTTTTTACTGATACTCCGTCATAGTGATTTTAAGAAACTGAAGTTCTTAGTTGGCTTCAGTCATGTTTAAGATAACTTTAAAAACAAGTAAATCTCCAAGTGTCCTCAGGGACTTCAGCTGTGAACAGAGTCTGTTTCTAAGAAATGTTTTTTTGAGGTCAATCAAAATGAAAGATTTACTTGCTGACTGGAAGTGAGCAATGTGTACTGGGGCTGTGTTTAGATGTGACAAAGTATTTTAGAACTCTCTGGTATTTGTAATGTACCATTTGAACTGCTGTATTTTGTTTTTAGAAGACGTCACTCCTTATATTTTGCTTCATTTCCTCCAACTCTTACTACTTTAATGTTTTTTTTTTAATTTTATTTTTGAAGCTTATTCTCAGCCAGTGGATAACCATATCACTCCTTCTACCTACTTGGGACAGTCCCTGCCCCCAGCATCACCAGGGCGATATTCACCAATTCCCAAGGGAATGCTTGGAGATGATGAAATTACCAGGTAATGAATAACCAAAGCTACATGTCAAATTAGTGCACTAGGGAGTCTCAGAAGATATGTTTGTGGGCAAAACACTAGAGAATACTATGTTTTATTTTAAGAAATAGATGTTGGTTTCTTAACACTTGTAAACATTGTTGATGAAGAGAAAACTAGATGTAATTTTATATATTTATATTCACACACACGTATACACATGATCAGTCCAGGAATACTACTACAATCAGAATGCCCTGCTCAAGTGCTCTGTGAGTCAACTGAGCTTTTTCCGATGGTCGACTGAGCAGATTAGAGATCATTTCTTATTTTAAAGCCAGAAATGTTTTATTGTTGGTGAGGTTTTGTTTGTTTGGTTTTTCCCCCCACGGACAAGGGTTTGATTTGATGAATTTGTAAATCCAGAAAGGCTGGAGAGTTCTTAATCCTTTCCCGTTAATAGACCATTCATTCCTTCACTGATGCCCTGGATTGCTGTAATCTCTTGTTCATCATCGTTGATAAAGGAAAGCTCTTCTAATTTTGTTACCCTTCTGTTCTCTGAGCATTGGGATATTATACTGCATTTCAGAATGGTGTTGATGAATTCTTTGTCACGCCATTGTCTGACAGGGATAATGTCACTCTGTTTCTAAGGCAGAGACTGCAAGGACTGCAACCTAAGTGGTAAAATAAGTTGGAGAATGAATTTTAGCATAATGGAAGGTAGGATGTGTTTTTGTAGGCGTTTTTAACTTTGGCTTACATGCACCCTAACCCTAGGAGATTTTGTCCTGCTGATAGCATTGCAGTTTTATAGCCTTCTATAAAAAGTACTGTAAAAGGAAGTTTTTAGATTTCTTCTGTAATGCAAGGGCTATTCAGAGGAAGCTTTAGGTGATTTTCTTTAAATTATCTTACCTTCTTCCGTTCCCTCCAGCCCAAAAAGAAGTGTAGAAATTTTGAGTAATGTTTTAAAAGATACTGCATATTTATGTTTTTTAACTGCAGCATTTTTGTTAATGTATTAGTGTGACCCAGAGCAATATACATATGTTTTCACAATGTGATTTACTTATAGTAAAATAGTACTCTGAAAAAATGAATATAAATGTTAATAGGAGGTAAAATTTAAGAATTTGATACTAAGTTGGTTTAGAGCTAGTAGACAAATCAAGTTGTTTTTAAAGATCAGACTAGATGATATATTTTGTTTGTTTTGGAAAACTGCAGCTTCATAGTTTAGCCTATAAATTAATAATTAATGTCTCCAAGTGCTTAAGAATGTCCATTAATTGTTCTTTAGTGCTCTCTAGTGATTTCTCAAATGCAGTGCACAGTGGCTCTGCTTTATTAGAAATGTCTGTTTCTGAAATGATTTATCCTTTTCTTGAGTCAGGCAGCAGATTAGTTGATTTTTGGAAGGAGAATTTCTGCATTAGGGGTTGGTTGGCCTTTTCCTAACTTGATTAGTATTTCTTCTTTCCTCTCCTCATGCAATTCAGGAGGGGATGCTATAAAAAGAATGCAACAACTTGGTTTAGATTTAACTTTTTCAATTGCAGTTTCTGCAAGTGTACCATAAATTCTGATATTTTTTTACAGGGCTTATGCATAATTACTGAATTGTTCTTTGTTATAGTTATTGCTTAACCAACTAGAGTGAAATTAAAGCTGTAAGGACGTATTTGTTGATAGAGGTGTTTCCATTGGAATTTGTTCTTCAAGTTTTCAGAAAGGGAAAATAATATTTTGTTGCTTGCTGTTACCATTAGATAAAATAAAACTGTGAGCTATGTTGAGGCTCTTGAACAGTATTGAAGGTGTTCAATAATGATGTTTAGTGCTGAATAGGGTTGTAGTGTAATAGGGATTTAGAACACCTACAGACTTAGGGATTGTTCATTTCACCTAACAACAGGGAGGGGATTTTGTGCATCTAGAAGAATTGAAAGCACACACTTAATAGAAAACACATAACTTGAAATAGTTTCAAAGTCTAACCTTGGGAGGGGGGTAGGACTGGGGAGGAGGGGTGAGACACACAACGTTATTGCCTTAAGAAATGTGTAACTACTTGTACTTAAATTTTCAACACTACTTCTCTCAGAAAACTCAACTTTTCTAATTGTTTATTTTACTTCTACTCATTTCTAGTGACCAAGATTTCATATTCCTTTCTTTCATTCAGGGAGCCTAGAAAGGTTGTTCTGCATCGAGGATCAACAGGTCTTGGTTTCAACATTGTTGGAGGAGAAGATGGAGAAGGAATTTTCATCTCTTTCATCCTTGCGGGAGGGCCAGCTGACCTGAGTGGAGAGCTTAGGAAAGGAGATCGTATAATTTCTGTAGGATTCCTTCTCTTATTTAAACAGCAAAAAGATTTTCCCCTCCCCTGGATATTAATGCCATTTAATGATTTATATGCAAAGAATGTAATTAACTGAGCTAAATTTGAGACAATGGATCAGATGCCAATATAATTCCAAAGTATCTTTAAGGACTTTAGTCTGCCTCAGTTTCTAATCTGTAACCTGATTAAAATAGCACTTTCCTATCTCAGAGATATTCAGTGACAGACAGCAGACTGTGACTTGTCTTAGGTAACTTATCTAAGTCTGGTAGCTGAGAGGTGTGTGTGTCTAAAAAGAATGCAGGCTATTCTTAAATGGGTCTGTCTCATACCTGTCTAAGGGCTTCTTCTATATTAGTACTGAATGTCTTAAAGATTTTGTGTGTTTCTTTGAAATGTTTTAACTTACGGAGAATAATTTCTTCGAACAATTGTGTTGTGATTTGGTAGTTAAGAGGAATTTTTTCCTCTTAAATTTTGATTCTGCTGCTGTTAAGATCCTGTTATTGAAGTGTATCTGTAGTTTGAACTATTGAAAACGCTTTTGGTTTAAAATGTGACATATTCTGCTTCATTTTTTTCTGACGCTATTTTTTAATCTGCTACACTGAAAACAAGGCTACACCCATGGAGGGTGTGATCTGTCACTGGATGTTGAATGTAAAGGTCTCTAGGCATGCTTTGGCTAAGGAGATCCCTGGAGCCCTGGTACCGAAAGGTGATGTGAACCATCACAGAAAGTAACATTCTCTGTGTCTCCTTAAAAAGAAAGAAAAAGATCTTTAAACAAGAAGAAAATTCGTTAAGTGACACACGATGACGATTACAGTATTTCTTAGCAAAGGAGTATATGTGAGAGGATTTTTTGACTTCAAATATTAGTAAGGATCAGCAATCTTTGCATTAACTAGCTTGTAATATTGGAAACAGAAAACTCACCTGGTCTAGAAACTAGTTTGTGTCCAGTTGAATTTTTTTTTTCACGAGTGTGTGTTCTGTGATGATAAAAACAAACATTTGTTTTGATAAAGAGCTTTTTTGTACTCCTTGTAGGTAAATGGAGTAGATCTGAAAGCAGCAACCCATGAACAGGCAGCAGCAGCCCTGAAGAACGCAGGCCAGGCAGTGACTATCGTAGCTCAGTACCGTCCAGAAGGTAAGAGTTGCCTTACACATTCAAGTTCACTTCTACAATTCGAAACTCAGAGAAGGATAATCTGCAAAGTCCTCTGATCCCACCTTACCCCTCTTCTGAGGAGAAACAAATAATGCAATAGCTGTTGACACATACCTGTTTGTATAATTGCAGGTGACTAGGTGGGGATGTGTGCCAGCATTGCTGCTACAACTTGATATGTTTCTTACTCTGAACATGTTCAGAATTTTAGTTTCTTCAGTAAATGTTAACACTGTCATAACATGAAAATTAAGTTGGTAAATCCAGAACTTGGTTGTTACGATATTTTTGTATTTTACAATTGTCTTCAGCCTTTAATATGGTGGGTTTATTTTCCGAAGAAGGTAGAAGGATAAAAGACTGATTCCTTCTTAGTTGTGTCCATTCAGATGACCTGAGAAGACCATCAGGTTTCCGTCCCTCTGTTTCATACTGAGCTGATATTTGTGTTTATCCGGTAGTTTCTTATGGTTCAGATTTCAGCAGTGGCGAGGGGTAAGTGTAGGTCAGGATTGGACATTGCGCAGGACAGGTGCCTTCGTCTGAAATTGTTAGGTAGCTGGTTGCAGCACAATTCATTCTTTATTTCTTCTCTTCGGTCATGTTACTTTTATCCTGTCCTTCCCAAGTCTTTGAAACATGAACTTTCACATTCCCCTTCCTCTAAAGCAACATCTTGTATCTCTTCTGACCCAGGAACTCTTGTCGGTAATAAGGGCAGCTGATTGATTTGCCTGGTTCATGGTCAAATCCCTGCAGCCAGCCTGTGTTGTCAATGCCCTTATTGTCTAGAGAGAGCGTGTGTATCCTGTTCACATGTTGAATCTGTAGACTGCTTTGTTCCAGGTTTCATTTTTGAGGACTGCTCACTCTGAGATTTCCTTTTTGAAAGATTGGTAATGTCAGCATTGGTTCTGGAATATTTACTTTCGCTTTGTGTCTCAGTTGTCAAATATTTCTGTTGATACACATTTAACCTACTCTCTGCTTAGCTCTTCAGTGTTGTAACATGTAGGCCAAATTGTTACACCTTCTTGCTCCTTGCATAGGGATCCCTCACCATAGTGAGAAATAAAGCTTGTGCTTTTATTTGCCTGTGAGTTGTCCTTTTGAGCATCTGGCTACTTTTTGTTCAAAGAGGGTGTTCGTGGTCACTCTTGGACCTGATGATCTTTCAAGGTCCCTTCCAACCACAAACATTCTGTGATTCTGTGTTATGGCTCCTAGTTGGAGAACAAACGTTTCTCTGTAGACTATATCCCAGGACGCAGGCATGTTTTTTTTTCTTTTTTCCATTGCCAAAAAACGTATCCAGACTCCATGCAAAAGCAGTATTTTTTCGGTCCTTTCTCTCTGGGATTCAGGCTTTAGAAAGAAAAGAATCCCTTCACATTCTGAAGGTCAGAACTCTCTTTTCCTTTTAGAATAAGACAACTGAGCATTTTGGATGGTTTCTGCTCTTTCTGCATTGGAAGTAACAGTTCTCTTTATTACCACTCATCCAAGCACGTAACTTATTTTCTCAAAACATGCACTGAGGTACTTGATTGACTGATGGGATTTTGAGTCATTGCACAGAGATTTGCCCAGAGTAACATACGCTGCCTCTTAGAAATTTCTTAATGACTATCACTTGTAACTTCGAAGCTGGAGCTGTCCACATTTCTTCATGGTTACTGAAGCATTCAGAACTAGACTTTATGCGTTTGAGCTGTATTGAGAAGTCAGTTCTGAAAGAATTATAGGGTCCATTTGAGGATGCGTGTTGGAGATGTTACTTGAATTATCCTAGATTATGGACAGATGTCTGACACATTAATTAAGAAAAGATTTTTTTATTTGGTGTGATTTGGGTTTTTTTAAGATGTTTTGTCTGCATGACTGTCTGTCTTTCTGAAGTAGTGCTTTAAAATCTCTGTTCAGAGTGAAGACATGGGAAGCACGTTAGGGCTTACTCTACCCTTTTGAAGTATACCATGAAGGAAAATTGTTACTAGGAGATGGAGATCTGTTGTAGTTTGGAGGCAAAATATAAATTTGAATGAAATTGAATATAAAAAGAATTATGTATGGCCAATCTACCTCACAGAGCTCTAGTTACTAATGTCTGATTTTGACATTTCTGCTTGCCTTTTTCTTACTCCTCATAAAAAGAGGTTAAATGGAACTCCAGCTGTCTGGTGTGGGAGGTAAATTGGATCAGATACTCACCCTTCAGATCTTAGAGGTTAGTAAAAAGAATATTTCCTTAAAGACTGCTGGTTTTTTATTATCACAGGCAAGCAGTTTGAGATTTGGCTTTCCAAATAGAAAATAGCATCCATGTGATTGAGTGTACTTGATACAAGTGCATATGTTCTTTGACCATATTCTTATTTCCTAAAGTATAGCTGCAGATGGTCTTTTTCTCCTTACTTGATTCATTTAAATAGGGAAATTTTATATATGTCTGTATATCATCTTCACTTTTTCTTCATGCCATTAAAAAAAAGGTTAAGTATTAAAAGGAGTTAGTAAAACCATTCGTTGTTGGTATTTCTCTAATGTCTTTGTAAATATGGAGAACATCAGTTATAACGGCTTATATTGCATATGTGGTTTATTTATATTTACAAATCCAGTAGGATTTTGTAAAAGATGCTGACAGCTAGGACAGATCAAGGAGAATCTAGACATCCATCAGGCTTCATTATAACTGGTTAAATATATTCAGTATGATAGGAGCATTTGGAAGACACTTGGGACCAGCTCACTTCTCTCCCCGTAATTGTATATGACAGTTCGTGTGTTCGTAGATGTGGTGGGGAAAACTACTTTATGTTTTTGTATCATACCACATTAGCTCTATCTGAAATTCCTCATTTGTCTTTCTCTTCAGATTTTTGGATATAGAAGAGTTTTGCAAGCAGATCTCTCATAGAAATGCCTGAGTAGGGTGTAGAAAAATTAATCTTTGTAAAACTGCTGTCATGGAAAGGGTTGAATTTTCCATAACTGATCTCTAAGGTCCCTTCCATCTCTAAGGTCCCTTCCAGCCTATGCCATTCTATGATTCTGTGAACTGTGTCTTCAAATCCGTAGTGTATCAAATACTAGTTAGTGGATTTAGGGTAGGCTGGTATGGCTGAATGATACTGCATTTTTTACATCCATGCTCAAATTATGTAACTGCTGACTTTTTTTCTCTTAAATCTCCAAAATGTTCCCTGGTTATTGAATTAAGTGAAAACAGATGTAATCTCATTCCTAAAAACATAATTCTGGGCATTCATTTAGTTTCCAGCAGTGTTCAGTGGATCTGAGAGATGCTTTACAGAATTTTCCCACTGTATCAAATTTCAACAATTTGCCAGGACTCTTTGGGACTGCTAGAAGTGAAATAGGGAATGTGAAGGTATTCTCCTATTACAAAAGTGATCCATGCATCAGGTACCCACCCTTTCTGTAGTACCACAGCTGTAGCCAGTTGATGTCTGCTTTCTCCATGCTTTATCTTTCAACTTACCTAGGAGCTACTTTTGTAGACCGTTAAGTCACCTGTTGGGTGATACTTGTACACACATTTGTGGTACGTACATGGAGATGTATGTGTATACAAAATATCCCTCATTGTGGAGATCAGTGGGTTTGAACCTGCTGTGGTTGGATGCTACAGAGGAGGGGTCCGTGGCAGGAGAAGAGCAGAAGTTCAGGAAATGGGAACTATCCTGTGGGCAAGTCAGGATGTTGTTCTTGTTTTCCTCTGTGTTTGGAAAATTCTCCTTCTTCCCCGACTCCTAGAAATTTCTGTCTCCTTTCAAGATGTCATTCGTGAATAAATAGGGACTTTGCTTTACTGTGAGTTCCACTGGAAATGAAGTACCATAACTTACAGCACTTTCTAGGAAGGTGATATTGCTTCAGTACCCAAAAGCATTTTGATGAGCCGTTTTCACTTGTAGAGTTTTCTGAGCCATTTCATTTTCTTGTTGCTCCCAGGTTCTGCAGAGACACCTCCGTGCCATACTGCTCTCCCTTCTTTGGGATTTCTGCAGATGTGGGATGTCAAGGGAAAAAATGCTATACTAGTGTGGAAGAATGAGAGGAAGCTCTAGGCAGTTTGGATATATGTCTGCCTCCCAGGAGGGGGTATGCAGAGATGGTCAGAATTATGAACATGGTAGGAAGCTGAGATGCAGGAACATGAGAGTCTCAGGGCCTCAGTGGAATGCAGTGAGGAGAGGAGCAGCAGGGGGAAGTGTTGGACTGCACAGAGGTGTATGACCCTTGCAGGGCTCATGGTGACATTTCTGTTGTTATATCCCTTCAGATTAAAAGGTCATCTGAAACATTCTTAGGTGTTTTGAGGATGACATATAATAGTGTCACTTCAAAATTTGGAATTTCTGGAAGGGTAGATTTTTCCATTCTGAAAAGGTAGGGTACCATAACTGTACTGTAGCTTGAGTGAATTTAAGTGTTTAAAAATAAGAAAAATAGCCAAAGAAATACCTTAAAACTATGAAAATATATTTGGCTGATATTGGATAGAAAATAATTTTGTGGATTGAACATTTTTTTTCATAGATATATTCTACTAGATCAGAACTGGGCAATTAGGTATATGTATAACATTAACTGCAGTTACATACATTAACTGTGGAACCTGCTCCTGGAGGGTCTTTAAAAGGTGAGCAGGCGAAGTTTACTGACATCAGCAATTGTTCACCTCTACCTTTCCCCAAAATAGGAGCAAAATGTAGATAACCTTATCATGACAGGAATGGGAGACAGCACTTTGCTTCCCAAAGATCCACCTGACATACAAAAAAAAATTATAATTTGAAGTAGTACAGAAGTACAGTATCGGCTGCCTGTTATTTAGAATTTAGAATCTGCATTAGTCTTCTCTTTGCAATTCAGATGTTTGAGTCTGTCTCGATATAGCCACTTCTTTTCTGAAAGGATAATAAGGTGGTTAAGTGATCAGATTAGCTCCATGTTCTTAGATGATTGGGTGGATCAGTGTAAGATTAGAAGGTGGAGCCCCAAGAGAAGATTGTAAGGTATTTTTTTGTAAAACCTCTTCTTCTGAACTTATATTGTTCATAAAGGTAGTTAACACATTTTTATTTCAGCTTTATCAAAGGAAATAGCTGATTCTCCATTGCAAAATGCATTCAAGATTCAAAATTCATTGAAAACTCCTTGTACTTTGTTAGACAGATTTTAGGTGTATTTCCAATGTATGTATTTTTATTTTGAAGGAATGTATACATCTACCAAATATAAGATCCAAATACGACAATTTTTCGCATTTTTCATTCTCTCGTCTTTAAAACAAATGAGAAAAAGGGGGAAGAAAAAGCTTTCCTAGAGCTTACTTTTTAATGGCCAGTTTGTAACACTTCATCTCTGCACTGTTTTCTTGTGGTATTTAAAACCAAATAACTAAGCGCTGGGAAACGGTAGCACTTTAATGTGTCTAAGATTATTTTCTGAGCATTTGTCTTGAA